TCACTTTTTTTTAGCTTTGTCACTTTTTTTTGAGTTTGTGTTACTTTTTAAAAAAGTGACAATTTTTAAAAAAAAAGTGACATTGTGTCACTTTTTCATTTTACACAGTATTTTTTACTTCCTAAAAACCTTTCATATGATTTTTCAAAACACCCTTAATTTTAAGGGTATTTTTGTAAGTGCCCCATTTAATAATGTGGAAATTACACCAAACCAGAATTTTAAAAATCCAATTTCAAAAATCAGATATAAAAATCAGACATTAATTCAAATTATTAATACTAACCTAAACCCTAAATATCCTAAAATCTCAAATCCATACCCATGTCTTCCTCTTCTCTCTCCCTCGGGCTTCGACATCAACAGTTAAAATTAAGCTGCTCTGGCTCCGACGACGGCGACCCTACCTCCATCCACACCTCATTTCCCCAAACCCTAAATTTTCACTCTCTACTCTCATCTCGCTCGTCGTCGTCACTGACACCGGCACCAACGCTCACAGCAGCAAACGGCGAACGTTGCTTGCCGCTGTAGAGCTTATCTGCTGGAGTTTCTCTTTGTTTGGTGGTTTGATTGTAGTGCCTCCTCGATCCGATTGGATTTTGTTTTATATGATGGTTTGAGCGTTGCCTCGATCCGTTCTAATGGAGTGGTGGTTTGCTACATCGGCGGTTGCAGTAGTGGAGATTGCGGCTGTAGCGGGCACAGATCTTTGTGGTTCCCGAGTTTAATGGTTTTAGGGTGGTGGTCCGTGGTTGTTGGTGGTGGTTTGGGTTTAATCACTAGCAACCATTTCATATTGTTTATACTGATTACCAACCAAAACCCCTTCAACGTTAAATCTGCTCTTTCGTAGGCAATCGTATTTAGCTGTTGATAAAAAAAGCTAACATTACCTTAAAAAAGCGTATTTCCGTGCATAGCACGGAAATAATCGACGGACCCCCCCATTGTGAGGGGGGCGTGGGATCAAGTAATCAGGGTATAAACCCCGAATACTTGTAGCAAAATCCTAAAGAGTTTGTTAGAATGTTTCAAAATTTTAACTCATGCTTTTCAAATGAGATAAAATATACCTCAAATCTCGTGCCCTCCTAAATTTGAATTCGAAAAAACCCCTAGACAATCGCTTTCATTTCTTCTCTCCATCTGCCGCCTGCATTCACCTTTATCTCCTCGCGTTGAAGAGCGCATCTCCCACTCACCCCGGCCATAAAAAAATCCCAGAAAACCCTAAACCTCATAACTTACATCCTCTCGTTCGCCACAAAAACCAAGAAAAAATACAAGAAACCAAGGCATAACATACCAATAAAACCAATGGCCAAGAAGAAAATGTCCAACACCCACCAAGAGAACCCGCATCAGAAGCAAGAGCAACTCGTTCAGATCCCGCGGCAGGACTCGGTAGCTATGGAGAATGAGGCCTCGGTCAAACTAGAAAGTCTCAAGTCTCTGAATAAGAGGCTTATTGAGGAGGCAGTCGAGCGCCGCCAACAGGTGCACTCGCTCATGCAATCGAAAGGGTCTCTGGAATCCGAACTCACTCGGTCTAAATCGGAGATGGAGGTGTTGAGGAACGAGTTGACTCAGGTGAGTGAGAGGGTTGTGCATTTTGAACTGGAAAGGAGTGTTGTGTCTGTGTTTGTTGCTTTGCAGGTGGATCAACAGGCTGAGGTGGTCGAGGGGAAAACCAAGGGATTGGAGAGTAAAATAAAGGATTTGTTAAGGATGATTGACGAAAATGAACGCAGAATCGGGTTGTTGAATAAGAAACTGAGCGTGAGTGGAGCAGAATTGGAATCTGAGCGAGAGAGTTCGAGAAGGGTTATTGAAGAGAGGGATGAAATGAAGGGTAAGCTTGATGTGCAAATAGAGAAGGCCAACGGATTGAGGGCGAATTTGGTTGAACTGGAGGAAGGAAAAAAACTGATCGAGCAAGAATTAGAAAAAATACAGGTTGAATATAATCGTTCCATGGAGGAAAAACAAGAGGGGGAGAGGAAAATCGAAGTAATGATGAGTGATAAAAAATTGGTCGACAAGAGTTTAGTTGAGTCCAATAAGTTGATTGAGGAAATGAAGAAAGAAATTCAGGAGGTTATCAAGGAAAAACAAAGAATTGAAGAGGAGAAAAAAATGGAAATAGTGAAGGGAAGTGAGTTGGAGAATGTGGTAAGCGGACTGAATGAGAAGGTGATGAGTTTGCAAAAGGAGGAGGAAAAGTTGCGTGTAAATGTAGCAGAGTTGGAGAAGAAATACATTGAAGGTGTGGAGAAGAAAAAGGATATGGGAAGGGAGATTGATGAATTTATGAAGGAAAAGAAGTTGAATGAGAAGATCCGTGAGGGATTAATAGAAGAGAAGAATCTTGTTGAGAAGAATATGAATGAAATGTTGAATCGATTAGATGAGCATAGTCGGAAAATTGAAGAATTGGTCAATGAGAAGATTGTGTTGGTGAATGCTAAAGATAGACTTGCAAGTGAAGTGGAATCTTTGCAAAATGAAGTGGCTAAATTCCAAGGCGTCGTTTTAGAACAGGAAGTGTCTGGCAGGGATAAGATAGAGAAAATTAAAAACTTAGAATCTGAAATAAGTGGTTATAAATACGAGATTGAGCAGATTAAAGGTGAGAACGACAATGTTAGAAAGTATTTGGATGAAGAGAAACAGAATGCTGTAGGATTGGAGGAGAAGATTGAAGAAATGGAGAAAAGAATTGAAGAAAGTGAGAATATCACCGGGGAAGTGAAGGCTGAGAATCTCACCATACTCAGAGAAAAGAAAGAATTGGAAAACCAATGTGATGTGTTGAAGAAGTCTATAGCCTCTATTGAAAAATCACTTGGTGAGGCACAAAATGGACTTGACGCCATGAGGGGAAAAGTGGAATTTGCGGATGCCAATACAAGTCTAGTTATGAATATGTTGAGGGACACAGCAGCCTTCTGTTCAAAGGAAGAAAGGGGGGATGCTGTGGATGGTAATTTGCTTGGTGGGAAACAGATTAATGGTGAAGAAATGAAGACATGCGCGGTGGAATTGGAGACGATCAAGAATGCCTTTATGAGTAAAGAAACTAAAGTTGAAAACATGAAGAGACAACTCGAATTCCTGCAGATTTCGGTTGCTGAAGCACACAAGAAGAAGAGCTTTTGGACTGTTTTGTCCTCGATTACCACACTCTTGGCCGCTGTTTCTCTTGCATTCGCTGCACACGGTCGCTGAATACCTTTACATAGGTTACACTAATGAAGTCTTCAACAAATTTTGGTGTTAAAACTAATGACACTAGATGCTATTGAGAGCTATGACTCTAGTTCTCAAGTTTCTTTTTCGTAATAAGTCTCTTGAAGCTGATATTATATCATATATTTAACTCGTTTTA